CCTCTCTCTCTCTCTCTCTCTCTCTCTCTCTCTCTCTCTCTCTTTCTCTCTCTGTCCCCCACCTTCCCCCCTCTCTCTTTCTCTCTCTCCCGTTTCGATCCTTACCTTATGTGGCCATCCAACCAGGCCTCTTCTTTGGGAAAACGCTTTTCCTTCTCCCCTCTTCCCTTTTCACTCTCTAAAGCTGTATTCTGAGTCCTGTCTGCAACTCTTCTCTTTTGCCCTCTCCCTCCCTCCGACCCCCCTCCCCCAACTATGCTCGTTGTATACACTCTCCATTCCCTCCTTCACCCCGGGAACTATTGCAATATCTCCCTTCTTCACATCTTCACTCTTCCTTGCTTCTAATCCTCCTCTTTTTCTACTTCCTCGTCTTCCGAGTATCTGATCCATCTACTCTTCCCCTTCTCCTCCCTCCACTCCCCTTCTCTTCTTCTTTCCCCCTCCCCTGCTCCTTTCTTCCTTCCCCCTTCCCCTTCTCCTCTCTCCCTTCCACTTTTCCTCTCTCTACTCCCCTTCTCTTCTCCCCTATTTCCGTTCTCCTCTCTCCTGCTCCTCTTACCCCTTCTCCTCTCTCCCCTTCTCCTTTCTCCCCCCCCTTCTCTCTCTGTCTCTCTCTCTCTCTCTCTCTCTCTCTCTCTCTCTCTCTCTCTCTCTCTCTCTCTCTCTCTTTCTCTCTCCCTTTCACTTCTTTTCCCTCCCTCTCACCCATTTTCTAACATTTACCCCTTTTTCTCCGCCTCTCTCTCCGCCCTTATCTCACCCTCTAACCCTCCTTTCACCACCCCCTGACCTTTCCCCCTCTCCAAACCAAACCTCTCCTATGTTAGATGACACATTTAAGAACCATACTCCAAGCTGTTTAGGATTCCAGTCGTGGAGCAAGACACATCGACACTTCCCGAACCGCGTTTTGTGTACATTGCATTTCAAAATTTGAATTTCTGGTCCCAATATTTGTTGTACAGAATGACTGAGAATATCGTCTGTTATGAACTATAACGATGCTCCTCTGTCTTGTTCACGCAAAAAGCTATTGTACAACTGTTGGTTTCAAGAAGAGCAACCAAGTGTAAAAGAAGAACGAGAAATGTTTAAGCATATTTGGCACTTGCTACGTCAGAATTACAAAGTTCTATCTGCTCAATACCTAGTTTTGATAAATTTGACGAAAACGGTTTTGAGTTTCACAATAGTATTGTGTCGACAAAGTTTGTTTTCCGAATGCAATTCTTTGAATATCTTGATAACGACTCCAAATATTCTTAATGTCTCGAACGTTTGATTTCTGACCTCATGGTCTTAGTAACTCAAAACATCCAAAAATATCAGATAGAGCTTTGTAATTCTGAGATAGTGATGTGGTGGTGGAAAAATGAAACCAAACTTATTTTTTTTATTAGTTCACCATTGATGTCTTCAAGGCCGTTAATTGTTTAATTAAATAGAAAGCTGTAATGTATTGTCGTTTCCAACTTTCATATTTCAATGGCATTGATCTAGTAGTTGTACAGCTTTTTGTTTTGAATAAAGAGAGACACATCAGCACAATACATAATATCATTAAGTGCTGGGAAAAAAGCAAGCAAGACAGATAGACAGACAAAAAGAAACAAATGCGGATGGCAAAAAATAAATCGTTGCACCGCAAAAAACAACAGTGAAGGACCATGAGTTCTGTGAAAATACCTGGCGATTTACATCTCCTCTAAACCCATGTTGATTACATTTTGATTAAAAACAAACGATTTCAGTTCTGAAACATAATGTTAAAGAAAAATGCGTTAATGTTGTCATTATCATGACCATTATCAATCATCGTCATTGTCCTCATCATCATCGTCATTCCCATCTTCCTCCTCACCATCATCATCGTCATTATTATTATTATTATTATTGTTATTGTTATTATTATTTTTATGATTATTATTAATGCATCATTATTATTACCATTATCACTATCATTATCATTATCCTTTTCATTATCATTATCATCATCATTATCATTATTTGCGGGTCGTTATTATGCTGCGAAGTGAATGAAGTAAGTGATAATGTGTGTACATATTGATCAAATTGCCACTGCTCTTTTTCTTTTCTTTTTTTCTCTTTTTCTTTTTCTTTTTTTCTCTTTTTCTTTTTCTTTTTTTTTCTTTTTCTTTTTTTTTCTTCTTAGCTGTAAGCATTCTAAAGATGCTCTAGGTGCTGTTTGCAGTAGATGTAATAT